AGGTTGTGTATCATGTAATAAAAAAGTAACTAATTACTTTTGAAAATACGTAATCAGTAAAGTAACACGATTACTTTCTTGGAGAAGTAATCAGTAACTAGTAACTAATTACTTTTTTCAAGTAACTTTACCAACACTGGTCCCCAGTCTCCCTTGGAATGCTGTTGAAGCTCTGCCAGAGGTGTGAGTTGAAGATCTTGTGGACCAGGGCCTCTGCCAGGCGTTCTGAGGGCACTCTCACTATACGTTTAGGTGCGCCAGGTCCACCAGGTGGTGATTAGTTGACAGCTCAGCCCCTCTCTTCACCTGAGTGTCCAGAATATATGCCCACAGGTCTGGTGATACAATTTCAAAATTGATCATCGACCTGCGGCCCAGGGGGTCCCAGTGCCACATACACTTATGGGGACCCTTATGTTTGAACATGGTGTTCGTTATGGACAAATTGAGGTTTGCACAGAAGTCCAGTTACAAAACACTGGTTCATATCTGGGAGGCTGTTCCTCCCAATCACGCCCCTCCAGGTCTCCCTGTCGTTGCCTACATCAGCGCTGAAGTCTCCCAGTAGAACAGAGTACAACAGTACAACAGAGTCCCTAGGTGGAGCACCCTCAGGCACCCCACCCAGGCAATCCAAGAAGGCTGGGTACTCTGAACTGCTATTCGGCACATAAGCACATATGACAGTCAGGACCCATTCCCTGACCCAAAGGCGGAGTTAACAAACCTTCTTGCCCACCGGGGGAAACCCTAACATACAGGCAGCAAGCCAAGGGAATACTAGGATACCCATCCCAGCCCACCGCCTCCTACTAAGGGCAACTCCAGACTGAGACAGAGTCCAGCCCCTCTCCAGGAGACTAGTTCCAGAGCCCAAGCCATGCATTGAGGTGAGCCCAACTATATCTAGCTGGTACCCCTCAAATGCAACAGAAACTACATCCCTCCACCCTCACTTTTAATCATCTGTTAAACAACAGGATTCAACATTGTTATAAACTTTCAAAGTGCTTAAAAAACAAAAATAATCCAACATGTCCTTACTGTTGTGCTGCAAAACTTAATTTGGTTCTCATAAAACAAACACACAAACACCATATACTATACTTCACATGAGCTCACTTAATTCAGCAATGATTTTCCATTCCTTGGGTGAGGGCTCAGATGGATCCTCCTTGTTGTGTTTCTGCAGATTGGAAAATAAAACTGCATTTAAAACAGTCATAGGTGAGGTGAAATGTGGCGCTATGTATTTAAGTAGTGGAGTGCACAGTGACACATGCATGTTTGAGATCCTTGTTGCTATAACATAACATACATACAGTGGGCACATTTACCCAATTTTGTCATGATGACATGATCAAATGCAAAACTGTCTTTATTAATAAATCGTGAAGTTTGCTTTTTAACCATCTTCATCAGCCTCTATAGTGTGTTCCTCCTCTCTTTCCTCGCAAGCTCACACTGTGAACCAATCAGCAGCCTTAAATATTAAAATGACAGCTTTGAGCACTTAGTTTGGTTTTCTTCACTTGCTTGCATGAAATAAGCTTTAGTTCATTTCAGTGTGTGTTTCATTCATTATTTAAAAAAAAAAAAGTACAATAAACAAGATTGTAAACATGACAGCCAGACAGAAATATGAGTATGTTCATGAATGCATTTGACTTACATTGTGTTTCGTTTTGTCTTAAACGCCAGGTAAGAATCCCAACTACAACAAGCGCAACAGCAAGAGCAACAGCAAGAATACCAGCCACAATCATCCATCCAGTGTTTTGTTCTGAAATAGAAGAGAAAACATTTGTGTAATTCAGACTGTGACTGCATGTCACGAACAAATATTCAACAAACAAAAACATCCTCCGGTTCATCTCCACAGCTAACAGATTGGTTCTGCTTCTGCTTTCCTCTTTTGATTTATCCTCTCAAGGATACTTGAGGGTGCATGGGAGTTTGCCCAACCACTCTATAGGTAGGGATGGGAATCGAAAACCGGTTCTTGTTTCAGTGTTTGTGAACAGCAGTTTTCAGATCTTGCCACAGATTCTCGATTGGATTTAGATCTGGACTTTGACTGGGCCATTCTAACACATGGATATGTTTTGTTTTAAACCATTGCATTGTTGCCCTGGCTTTATGTTTAGGGTCGTTGTCCTGCTGGAAGGTGAACCTCTGCCCCAGTCTCAAGTCTTTTGCAGACTCCAAGAGGTTTTCTTCCAAGATTGCCCTGTATTTGGCTCCATCCATCTTCCCATCAACTCTGACCAGCTTCCCTGTCCCTGCTGAAGAGAAGCACCCCCAGAGCATGATGCTGCCACCACCATATCTGACAGTGGGGATGGTGTGTTCCAATAAAATTGGAAAAGTGTGGAATTCCAATAAAATTGATTCATTTTTGTGGCTGTAATGTGACAAAATGTGGAAAAGTTCAAGGGGGCCGAATATTTTTGCAAGCCACTGTATCATAAATAAAAAGACAGTTATAAATACTTAAGGATAGTCATGATGTCACATTTTCCTCCCTTTTTAAAATTTAAGGACACTGATATCCAGAAATTTCTGGAGAAGGCCACAATTTTGGACCCCTGATTTAAATCCAAAGTGGATAAGGATGAAGTCTGGGACAGTATCAGGGAAGCAGCTATTGTGGCAAACTCAGAGGCAGGAGCAGATGAGGTATTTCACTATGACAGTGTCTTTCATTGTAGCACATTTCCATTGTGAGACCTTTCATCTATGGATCTGTGGTACTTAGTTTGATTGACACAGGGAGAGTTGCTCGAAGATGAAGATGAGGATGAAGAAAACTAAGTTTAGCTCATTGTGATGATAATTTAGATGTCATGGATTGTTCATTTTTTTGCTTAATTTTTATTATGTCCATTTAATTTCAGGCGCTGCCAGTAAAGCAAAAGAGATCAAGAGATCCAGCTGTATAGAAGCCTGACCCCCATGCCCTGCAAGGATAACCCCACCCTATGGTGGTGGAGCAAGAGAGAGACTCTGGCCCTGCTGTCAAGACTGGCTGAAAGCTTTCTGTGTGTGTAAGCATCCTCCACCTCGTTTGAGAGTGTGTTCTCCACAGCTGGAGAGACCATGCGTCCAAAAAGATCACATATCCTTCCTGAAAAAGCAGATATGCTTTTATTTCCGCAAAAGAATTTTTAATTCTCCATAGTTGATAGTTGCAGAATTGTACAGTGCACAGTTCCATTGGACTTGAGTTGATTGTATTTGTTGCTGGCTGATGTAATTTTATTTTTGAGTGCTCATCTCATATATAGTTCTAAAAAGAAGAGTGTAAATGTTACTGGACATTCTTGTGTAATTGCAAAAGAATAATTTATGTTATACTTTGTTATTGCTACAGAAGAATACTTGTTTTATTATTATTATTTTACATTTACAAAAAATTTTTTCTGGGGACCCCGTGGCACCCCATCAAGGAGCCATGGGCTGTGGATCTCTTAAGATCTCACTGTTGAGTTTGTAAGGTCATGCTACCCATAAATTTCTACCTTGTTCAAAGATAAGATATAAAACAAAGTTCTAAGCTAATCGACCTGTGTGTTCTCCTTCTTAAAAATATGAATCGATAGGAGAATCGATAAAGAATCGAATTGTTAAACCTAATCAAAAATGGAATCGGGATCATGAAAATCTTATCAGTTCCCATCTCTATCTATAGGTGTGCTGTTTACTCGGAGATGGGATTTAATTATGTCTCTCTGAGTATTCTGTGGGAGGTGCTTCAGGAGTATGGGGTGTCTAGCCCATTTCTATGAGCCATTCGATCCTTATACAACCGTTGCAAGAGCTTAGTCAACATAGCCAGTAATAAGTTGGACGCGTTCCTGGTGGGTGGTGGACTCCGCCAGGGCTGTGCTTTGTCACCAATTCTATTCATAATTTTTATGGACACAATTTCTAGGCATTGCCAAGTGGCGGAAGGCTTCCACTTAGGCGGTCTCAGAATCTCATCTGTGCTTTTCGCAGAAGATGTAGTTGTGTTGGTTTCATCAGGTGTACAGGTGAGTGTGAAGCGGCAGCGGAGAGTCAGCACCTCCAAGTCTGAGGCCACGGTCCTCAGCTGGAATAGGGTGGAGTGCCCCCTCCGGGTCAGAAAAGAGTTACTGCCCCAATTAGAGGAGTTAAAGTATCTCTGGGTCTTTTTTTACAAGTGAGGTGAGCGGGAGATCGACAGATGGATTGGTGCTGTGGCTGCAGTGATGCTGACACTGTACCAGTTTGTCATGGTGAAGAGAGACATGAGCGTAACAAGAAAAGCTCTTGATACGTCCCTCGTCTCAACTATGGTCACAAGCTTTGGAAAGTGACCAATAGAATGAGATTATGGATACAAGCAGCAGAAAATCCTTTCTCAAAAGCATGGCAGGCCTCTCGCTTAGAGATAAGCTGAGGAGTTCGGCCATTCAGGAGGGGCTCAGGGTAGAGCCACTGCTCCTCCACATCGAAAAGACACAGTTGAGGTGGTTTGGGCATCTGGCAAGTATGACTCCTGGGTGCCTCCTGGGTGAGGTGTTTCGGGCATGTCCCAGCAGGAGGAGGGGGAGCGCTTCTCTTCTTAGAATCACCCGGTGGTGTTGAGCTTTACGGTACTTTAAATTCAAAGTGGTCCATAGGCCAGGGGCGCAGATGACTATGGCCGATCAGTAAGGATCAATGAACAATAGTCTTTGATCAATTTACATATTACATATAACAATTTACATATTACTGATCAAGAAACTGACCTCACATCCTATTGTTCATCTAATGGGCTAGTTTCAGTCATTGTGCAAAGGTACTGTTTATAAGGTTGGGGAAATCTGCAGTCAACTGAGACTAGAGAAGTCACTAAGATGAGTGACGAAACGTTTCTCCCAATGAAAATGCTACGTCCAGATGAACAGAATCAACTTTTTGGGATTTCTTTACCTGGATAATTGAGCATGCATCAAGACATTATTAGAGATAGGTTGATAATTTTTAAGACTGAAGCATTAATTAATGGCAGGACTTCTTTGAGCAGTTTTGTAGGAATGGGGTCTAAAAGACACGTTGATGGTTTGGAGGAAGTAATTATTGAAGTTAACTCAGAAAGATCAATTGGAGAAAAAGAGTCTAA